ACAGGGACAGACAGAGGAGGGACACACAGGGAACACACAGGGCCAGAGAGAGAGGACACACAGGGAAAGAGAGACAGGGAGAGACGACACACAGAGAGAGGGGACACACAGGGACCGAGAGAGGGGACACACCAGGGTTAGGGCACAGCCAGCACTGCAGTGTCCCCTGCCGTGTCCCCAGCCTGGCACTTGCACCCAAAGCTGCTGCAGTGAGGATGGGATGGGATTTTGCTCCACCAGGCCACGAGCAGAGGGGGCTTCACAACCAGAATGATTTGTGGTTTGTTGCTGAAGGCCAACACTGCAGTAGCTGCACTGTTAACACATTCCTCTGGCATTACCTGATGTATTTTACACAAACTGGGGAGATGCCATAAACCATCCCAGCTTTTTCTCTCTCAGACCTGGCTAAACTGCAGCCACTTCTCTTAAATAAATCTCTTCATCCAAGCTTCTCTCCCCTTACTAAAAAAAAAAAACAAAAAAACCCAAAATATTTTTTAAAAGCAGCAAATTTGCAGCAAGCGTTAAAAGCTGGCCAGAAGAGGAAGCATGTTCAGAGTCCTCATGGTAGAAACCACTGAAAAACTGAATAAGACTAAAAAAAAAAAACTAACAAAATACAAACAGGGCACTGCAGAGAAGCCAATCCAGGCCACTGCCACCACTCCTATCCATTTACAGTTTCAGATGCCAGAATAAAAATGTAATGGGGGCTTCAAAATCAAGGACCGAGACGATGCAAGGCCACGGCTTTAAATCTGCAAATAAAGCAATAATGCAAGAAACACAGGGCAAATTAATTGTGCAAAAAGGGCATGAGAAGCTTTGTGAAGCAGGGAATGTTATGGCACTGCTCTGGAGACACTCAGCCCTAGGAACTCCAGGAATGGCTCCAAATTAAAGAGATTTTTACCTTTCCCTTCAGGTTACTGAGGCAGTTCCTAAAGGACACCCTCAAATGTGTTTGTAAAGGACACAGCCCAGATTTATTTCTAGAAATAAATATAACTAGGCTAGGAAATTTTATTTTTAAAGATTATTTCCCCTCATGGGTTTTTAGGCCATGAGGCTAACAGTCCTCAAGAAGGCAGAGGGAGCTTGGGGGGTATTTTTGATTGATTTAGGGTTTTTTTTTTAGATTGAGAACATCTCAGTGCCACCATCAAACCCATCTGGAGACAGATGGTTGATGGTATTGGCAATGCAATACAAATGCTTTTTAATCAATGTGTGACCAATACAAAATAAAACCAAGAAGGAAAAAAAAAGACAATTTTGATGGTCTTTGATGAGTAACAAATGAGTAACAATGATTTGGATTAATAAGTGACAAAAGATAGATTGATTACTGCTGCCTGAGGGATTTCAGTGTGCAGTAACAGTTATGTATTTGATGTTTAATAAAATTAATAAAATTATCCTGCCACTCACACCCCACCGTGTGCTCTCAGCACAGACTGATGCCGGCCCCACACTTGCCCAAAATCCCCATTTCAGCTCCCATTCATTGCAGTAACCAAACAGCACTGCAGGGTTTAATCACCACACGTATTTAGAGCTTAAAGCAGTGGAGAAAAATTATAAAAAAACAGAATTTTGGGCGTGATCTGCTTGGCTAGAAGCCCCTAAATGGATCGGAGCCAGCTGCCAGTGGCTCGGAGGAACACGAGGGGCCTTTCCCTTCCCAGGTGTTTCAGGAGAGCCGAGGAGTGACTTACTCTGTGCCCAGCCTGGTGGGAATGGAGGAGTTGATTGCAGGGCATGAGAAACGGGGCGGAACATGATCAATGTTAAACGAGAGAAGCAACAGAAGAGAAAACACAGCCAAATGAACGGGCAAATCATAATTAATGAATTGTCGATGTTATGAAAGAAGCGTTAAATAATTAAAAAATTAATGCGATTACGATAAAATTAATACAAAT